TGTGTGTGTGTGTGTGTGTGTGTGTGTGTGTGTGTGTGTGTGTCCAGAAATATGTGGAAATAAGAGATTGTTAGTCACACACAGCTATGATAAAATAAAATGCCTCCTCTTTTCATTCTAAGATTTTACATGTGCAGACATAATGAAACCTTTTAAATATTACCTGATTTTTAAGACCCTCTGAGGGATGTCCTGGTGTTTAGACTTGAAAGAGGGTGTACTTTCTTGAAAAGTGAGGGATAAATTCCCAAACTGAAACTGTCCATTTTTGTCTTTTAATTACAGGAAGAGAGCAGGAGCTGTGTGTTCGTGAACGACTTGCAAATGAGAAGCTCGTGCGGTAAAAAAAACTTTTAAGATAGAAACGATTTAAGCAATTCATTTTTTTTCATTCTAACCATTCTTTGGCAGTCTTTCCAGCTGATTTTAATTTTTTTCCCTTTATTTTGAATCAACCGCTTCAGAGCGGAGAGTTTGCTGAAGAATTACAGCCGCCTACAGCACCACAGGGACACGACACCGATCTATGACAAAGACATAGGTATGGGAATCCAGCAAAGACTTCTGAACTTACTGAACCAAGACCAGAGCTGAGCAGTTTACTTTTAACGTGTGTTTTAACGCATGTGTCGACAATGTGAATGACTTTGGATCAAATGTATTTTTTTTTTATACAACAATAAAGAAATTATTTTTAAAAAGTTGCAGTTCTAAAAGCTCACACAACACACCTCAGAATCACAGCTGTTGAGATTGTGATTTGTTAACAAGTTTACGTGACTGTTTTGGTCTAGATGCGGAGAACCTCTCTCCGGGTAAGAAGAAGGTCCACTTTGCTGGCGAGAGCAAAGAGAACCAGCGGCCCGATGCTCTGCAGAGCGCGCCGTCCCAGGAGCTGGTGCTGCTGAGGAGGCTGCAGGCAGCAGCCCAGCGGAGCCAAGCTCTGAGTGAAATGGAGAAGATGTGCCAGCTCAAGAGCAGGCAAATCCTCGGCCTGCGCTGATCGCACAGGTGTGACCGTGAAAGCTTCTGAAGGCCTGGAGTCATAACAACTGGATGAAAATGTTCATGTGTAGCTGTGGAAGTGCAGTGAATGTGTGTGTGTGTGTGTGTGTGTGTGTGTGTGTGTGTTACTGTCTTATTTTTATGTAGCCTGATGAGTGAGTGTGTTATCTCGGGCAGCTAATGCGATTATCAATGTACTGTGTATAGTTTTTTGCTGTATTTATGGCTGTAGACCTTCTTTAGAGACATCTCTAGAAGAAGGGAGACTATGTGGAATGACATGATCCTGTGATGTCAATAAACAAAGTGATTATATTCATTACTACATTAAAGTAGGCATGATGTGATGATAAATACTTGTTCTATACCATTTGGGTTTTGTTTTTTTTTATATAGCAGTTGAAATGATGTAATAATTTTAGTATCTGCCAAACAGATATGCTGTATTATAGAAGGAAAGAGGATGTGGTCTGAGAGGTGTTCTGGTGGCAGTGGAGCTGAATCCTTCAGTTAGAGAAGATGTTCTGCTGCCTGTACAGTAAGTGGTGTAGAGGGTCTAGATCACAGGTGTTGAACTCTAGGCCTCGAGGGCCGGTGTCCTGTAGGTGTTAGATATGTCCTTAATCCAACACAGCTGATTTAAGTGGCCAAATTACTTCCTTAACATGTCTCGAAGTTCCCCAGAGGCCTGGTAATGAATTAATCATTTGATTCAGGTGTGATGACCCAGGGTGAGAAACCTGCAGGACACCAGCTCTTGAGGCCTGGAGTTCCCCACCCCTGCTCTAATATGTGTATGCTTGATATATCAACAAGCAAACATGACTGATAAATGAGGAATTCTTACTCCACTCAGTTTGTGGGGAAATGTGTGCTTCTCTTGTTTGTTGCCTAGAGACATTACAGCTGTCTATGTTACTTTAACAGGGATAAATCTGTTTGCCCGGCCACAAAAAAAGAATCTGCCCTGGGGTCTATCACAGGGCTGTTGTGCAATATGCTATATTTCATATGTATACAGACTGTAGTGGGTCTAAGTTGGGCCAAAACTAGTTTCTCCTGTGGTTTTTCACACTAGCGTAGCAATAGATGTATATGAAAAATAGAAGTTACAGGCTGGGCTGATCATTTTCATAGTAATGGAATTGTTTTTATATAACACTAGCTCCCACAAGGGGTCATCACTTTACCATCTTTCTACGTAGCACTCATAATTCTTATTCTCATGTATATATCATGTATATCTCATGCACATATCTTTCTTTCTACATAGCACTTTAATTCTTATTGTTTGCACTGAAGCACCGCAGCAATTTCCTAATGTTGTAAACCTCAACATCTGGCAATAAACCCCATTCTGATTCTGATTCTGATTCTGAAAAGATATTAAAATGCAATTTGCAAACAAGCCTTTGCTTTGAGTAAGTAGCAGATTAGATGTAATTTATTGTTACATCTGTCTTTATTTCCATTGAAGCTGGTAGCTTACTGGCTTGATTACTGAGTTTTTTTGTGTTTGCTTGTTTGGTTGGTTTTTTCTTGGAGGGGGGGGCAACTTGTATTTAACTTAATGTAAAATTTAATCATTTTACAGCGTAAGTATACGGACATTTGGAAAATAAAATATAAAATAAAGGAAGCAATTATAGTGTGTAGTTGGAACATCAGTAAATTTATTTAGGGATTTTTCCGTGATTAAAAGCTGAGTAAAGACCACTGATTGTATAAAAAAGTGTTTTTACTGATAAGGGCTCAGTTTCTGTGATTCTTCGCAGTCACCTGGTTTCAGCTGAAACGCCAAGATTTACGAATCAGTTACGGACCTCATCGCGATATTACAATTGCCATTAGCGTGCGTAGCAACCACCGTTGTTTGGCTTCTTTGCGCCGCCTACTTGCAAGAGTTGCAGAACGTGACCAATTACGTTCCTCCCTGTAGCTCGTCGACCAACGGAAATCGTAGTAGGCGTGTCCCGCTATGTGCCGTGTTCCGTGTGGAAAGTTTACCGGCTCGGGTGCAAAGTTTCAGCCGTCTGCAAAGCGGAGCTCGTCGGCAAAACGAGCGAGGAAGGTGCTAGTATTTATACGGTTGCTGAATCATTTTTTAATCGCCAATTGATTCGGTGTGTGTTTGTCCTCAGATATAGCCGAGTGTTGCTGCCGTCGCCGAATAAGAGTGTTTTACGCGGATGATATTACCAGCGATCGTATTGTCTCAGGGAGCCAAGCTAGCTTAACGTAGCCCGGAGTTAAACGGGAAAGCCAACCAGCGGATGTCGTGGGGATTTCTTGGGCTTTCTCAAACCTGCTGATTTCTTCAACGCTAACTTATCAACGCTAACTTAAACTTGAATCGACTGTGAGGAAGGAAAAATGGCTTGCGAACCCAATCGTGCCCGGCTGCTGTGCATGCTATCATTGACTTTTGGGTTTTTCATCGTGGAAGTGGTGGTCAGTCGGATGACCTCGTCCCTGTCAATGCTGTCGGACTCCTTCCATATGCTGTCGGATGTCATCGCACTCGTCGTGGCTCTAGTGGCGGTTCGGTTCGCGGAAAAAACCCAGGCGACCAACAAGAACACCTTCGGCTGGATCCGAGCGGAGGTGATGGGGGCTCTGGTCAATGCCGTCTTTCTCACGGCGCTGTGCTTCACCATCGTCCTGGAGGCGGTCGAGCGTTTCACCGAGCCCCACGAGATCGAGTCTCCAGTGGTGGTGGCCGGGGTCGGTGCCGCGGGGCTTCTGGTTAACCTGCTGGGGCTCTGCTTGTTCCACGGCCACGCGGGCGGAGGCCACGGACACTCTCACGGAGGGCACTCTCATGGGAGTAAGAATAAGCGTGGCAAAACGAGCAAGAACTCGAAGGCTGGAAACGGGTCTTCGGGAGAGGAGACCAACAACTTGGTGGGAAATCACAACAGCCCAGGCGATGGGAGACCAAGAAATGGTGAGCAATGAGTTGTTGGTGCTTTAGTTTTGAAATGGACTGTCCACCCTCACTATCTCACCATCAATCTGGATACATGTGCCAGTCTTTATCTTCACTGTTAGCACTCCAGATTGTGTAACAGTGCATCAGCCTGCCCTGAGAACTACCCAAGTGACTAATCCGTATTGGGGTTTTTTCTTGACATATGTGTTTGGCGTCTCATATTTGTTGGGTTATTCTATCCTTGGAAACATGGTCTCTGTGTTGGTGACATTCCTGGGTAAAGCCTCAGGTGCAACTCTGGCTTCTAAATAATGATAACGAGAAGTTTCTGACTGACACAGCTGAGTCAAACTGAACTCGATTTTAAGTTTTTACCTGAATTTCCACACTGACTGTAGCTTGGGCCGGTATTTAAAACTTATAGTGGGATCCTTGTAAAGTCTCCTGACCCCCTGAAGAGCTTAGTGCAGGGCTGCCCAATCCCAGTCCTCAAGAGCTACTATCCTGCAGCTTTTAGTTGCATCCCTACTCCAACACAGCTGAATCAAATGGTTTGATTACCTCTTCAGCATGCCATCATGTTTGGCAAAGGCCTGATAACAAGCCATTCATTTGATTCGGGTGTGTGGGAACAAGGATGCATCTAAAAGCTGCAGGACAGTAGCTCTCGAGGACCGGGATTGGGCACCCCTGGCTTAGTGAGTTACCTTATCTGCTAAATAATTAGTAACTAAAGCTTAAAAATAAATGCAGTGAAGTAGGTGCCCACCCTTTACACTCACCTGGCTGTCAGCTATCAGCAAGGAATCAGAAGCAAAACAAACTCATCTGCATACAGGCAGCTTTTATTTTAGCTTCTTCTTAATTTAATTGTGCTTCTACAAGGTATTGAGTGGAAGAAAAACCGGTCAAAGGCCAAAGTGGGGCAGCAGCTGGCCAATCAGCTTGTCCTCCATACATTTTTGTTACATTAAACGCTTCTTACCAGACAAGTTGATTGTACTGATAACCTCATGTTGGTGTCTGCATGTCAGTTAAAAAGTTTCACAGCAGCACTGGAGAGCTTCCGTGGCCCTTTCTGCTGGTCAGTCTAACTGAAGGGTTAAACATACAGAAACTCATTTATTCTTCCCCCCGCACTGTTAGACCCTGCCAGTTTCAATAAATGGGGGTTATATCCCCCGCCCCTCCATGCACTGATTGCTGTTACTGGGCCATACATCAGTGTAGCTGTGGAGTCGACAGCCCCAGACACACCATTAGCCACTGATGAATAGACCAGCTTGGTCCCTGGGATGGAAGCGAGCCATCGTTGCTCAGGTGCCGTTGCCCCAGCTTAGAGTGTGTTGCCTGCCATTACTAACTGAATTTGCCTAATGTGAATTACTGAGCAGCATTTTGCTGCGTTTAGGTTTTTTTTCTTTGGTCATCTGGCATGTTGTTTTCCTGAGTGTGGCCTTGGGCAGTTATATAGCACAGATTCAGTCACAAGATGAAGTCTTCAGCAGTGAAATCTGCAACATTGTATGTAGTTTCACATGAACTTTTCCCCTTTCGCTCTTAATAATGGCATTGTATTTAACAGCTGGCTGCCATTTGATGGCATCCAGAGTTTTTACCAGGAGAAAAACAAAACCGAGTAGGGTTCACTGGGAGTTTTTGACGGTGTTGGAAAGTGGGGTTTAATTTTATTCAAAACTGAATACATGTTTTCTTATCACATGACCAAAAACAACAGGACAATGCACAGAATTCTGTTGTCAGGTGACATGATTCCCCCCCCCCCATCTTAACTATGATTAACAATCGTTCAGTGTGCATAGTCCCCATGCTCAGAATGGGCCCGTGGGGTGGGGTGGGGGGTACAGTCAGTCTAGACAAAGGGACTGTGTTACCTTAGTCCTTGCAATTTCTTACAATTTGATAACCTAAACTGTGTTATTATGGTTTAGTATATTACATACTAACAAACCTGTTAGCCCCAGATAAAATCTTCTTTCAGGGTGTGTGGGAAACACATGCTTCTTTATGTAGGATAAACCCTGGTCTATATAATTTGTGTGAAACCTGTGTGTCAAAGTCCATTTGATTATTTAACTGTTCCAAACTAATCTCTGTTTTCCCTTTTTAATCTTTAGAAATCAGCTGTAAAGGCAGCACAGAGGTGCAGATGAATGGAAACACCCACTATGAGGAGATGGATCCCGACCACGACTCGTCGTCGCAGCTCAACATGCGCGGGGTCTTCCTGCATGTGCTGGGCGACGCCCTGGGCTCCGTCATCGTAGTGGTCAACGCTGTAATATTCACCTTTGTGTGGCAGCCCTGCATCAAAGGTGAGAAGTGCATGAATCCGTGCGTCAACAGCCACTCCGCTGACCATTACCATGACAACAACACTGTTGTCGATCTGCACGTGGGTCCAACTGTGCCGACCATGAAGTTCGCCGGCCCCTGCTGGGTTCTTTACCTTGATCCCACGCTGTGCATCATCATGGTGAGCATCCTGCTGTACACTACCTACCCTCTCCTCAAAGAGTCGGCCCTCATCCTGCTGCAGACCGTGCCCAAGCAGATCAACATGCACCGGCTCAACGAGCGTCTGCTGAGCCTGGACGGCGTCCTGGCCATCCACGAGCTGCACATCTGGCAGCTGGCCGGAAGCCGCATCATCGCCACGGCGCACATCAAATGCCACGACCCCACATCTTACATGGAGGTGGCCAAACGCATCAAGGACTTATTCCACAACGAGGGCATCCACGCCACCACCATCCAGCCCGAGTTTGTCACGTTCAGCTCAGAGTCTCGAGACTCCCTGTGCGAGCTCTCCTGTCGGACTCAGTGCGCTCCCAAGCTATGCTGCGGCGCTGCGGACAAACAGAACACCGGCTCTGACAAGAAGGCTGCAGTCGCTTCAAACCTGGAGGTGATCAGTGAGACTTCAGAGGCGGCGGGGGCCGTAGTTCAGGTGTGCCCTGGGTCTGAGGCTGAGGTCAGGATTGCCAGAGAAGTGGAGTCATCTCTGTGAGATGAAGGGTGTGGAGAAGAGCAGAGGAGAAGCAAGAAAACCTCCACTTTGAGCAAAAACATCATCATCATTTGCAGGAAGCTGTACTATTTGTGGCTTAATCATTTCCCCCGATAGGTCCTTTTATTTTCGATTATTGCCCATCTACACGCCTGAACCCCTTTCACTCCCTCCCATGTTCATACATTGAGCATTAGTTCAACCCCCCCCAAGCCTCTCCTCCGCCACTCAGTCCCTCCCTTGTTGTCTGTGGCTCTGGCAGTATGGGGGTATGGTTGCGATGCATGTTGGGTTGCACTGACCTCATCTCCACTAGAACTGGATCAAGGCCTGCATGAGCGTCATTAGCACCGTGTTGTGATGTCTCATCTCGTCTCATGGTGTTTCTGTGCCAAAGCTTCTCAGTGGACCGAAGGGATCAGAGGGACATTCCCTCCTCCAAATGGACACACAGCACACACATCACTAGGTTATTTATTTAGCCTATGGACCTGCTGGAAAAGAGTCTACCTTCCTGTTTTTTTGTGTAGGCTTCAAGCAGACCTATTTTCTTTACCCTCTGGCCTCCAGATGGAATAGTATTGTATTGCATAATAATTTATGTACCTAAGTTATTAGAAATGATCTATTCTCTGTAGATGCTGTTTGTAATGTTTAGTTTGGATGATAAACATTTATTTTTTTCTCTTTTCTCTCTTCTTGAAATCTTTTGACAGACCATCTATGCTGAATTCAGTTTTTTTTCCAGGTGTGATGTTTTTATAATGATTTTGTTTCTCAGACGTTTTCGTCTGGCCTTGACTCGGATTTAATTGCAGTCGTTAGCTGGATACAAAAGCCGTACCAACACCTCTCTCACCTTGCCTTTTAATTAAAGAAAACTGTTGCGATATGGCACTAACATAGTCGACTCTGTGTAACAGGACTTCTCGCAGTGGCACAGTCACCTAATTAATTAAATAAACGTTTATTCTTAAATTTCGATGCCTCACAAGCCAGAGAGTTGCAAAGAAACGAGCACTGTTCGCCATTTAGTGAAACCTCCGTCTGAATTTGTACCGGAAAGCTTTCTTTTGGCCTGTTGGGTTTTAAAAACCCTCATGAATGTGTTCGGCACCTTGTCACAATCCATGCTGTGGGAGGTTTTTTGTTTGTTTGTTTTTTTTATTTTAAATATATATATATATCCAGGACCTTCTGTGTTGTCTGCATGACCAAACTGAGACCTGGTGTTCGACTTTTTAACAGCTCCACTAAGAGCTCTAGTTGCTGCTTACCAGCGTCTGCTGGTATCCTACTATATTACTCATGACAGTGTGTGGGGGAATGACTCGTATAGCTCTGTGTGTCCTCTGCTGTGGACAGCTGAGCCGAGCTGGTTGTTTGCTGAACTGAAGTCCATACAGTGGCCTTTGAATTTGTTTCGACTTTTCCCCTCATCAGCACAGATACCGTGTGAAGTTGACCTGTTGATGAGTTTTGGATTTCCACTCTTTGATTTATTTTGCATTATAGAAATGTGTTCTGGGATATGTATTTTTTTTTCCATTTGTAATGTTTGGTCACTTTTACTCTTTTATGACTTGAGCTCTATGTGCAAATCGAAAACAAGTGTGTGTGCGTGCGTGTGGTGGTTTTTTTTTTGTTTTTTTTTGTTTTTTAAATTTTAGTTATGATTGATCGGCTGGTGTGTTTTTGAACTGTATGGTGGCATGCAAAAGTTTGTCCACTGCTGGTCAACATGACTTCCTGTGACTAGTTAATAAACAATTACCTTATTTCCAAAAGGCAAATAATGGTTAATGGACTTATTTTTAAAGTGTGTAAATAATAGGTTTACCCTCTGCATGGTCACTTTTTTTCTGTTGGTTGACTGTGAGGGTCTTGGAAAACTGTCAGAAGTCTGCACTTCATCTTCAGATCTTTTTGTCCAGTGTTTGCCGGTATTTAAATCAATCCACTCTTCTTTTCACCAGTGATTGCAGGACTGGCTGCAGCACAGCATGGTCAAAGCCATCCCCATGCTTAACAGTTGAACAAGTATTCTTCTAATGAAAGTCCTTATCCATTTTTTTTCCCCCAAGCATACCTTTGCTTATTTGGCCTGATGAGTTTCGTCTGCTGACTCTCCAATGAGTCATATTTGCACGTTTCACGGCGCAGGAGGTCGGTGCACAACGTCTCCAGCCTCTGATAAATCTTCCCAAAGGTCAAAGTTTTCCTTGTCTTTCGCACCTGAGCTGCATTTCCAGTATACCTTAAATTCTTTGCAGACTTCAGGATCAACTATCTGAAAATGCTTTGCTCTCTCCTCCTGAGTGGGCACCACTTGTTTTAATCTCCAGACTGCTATGGAGCGCCTTAGAGGAGCAATATCAGAGTGTATAAAGCTTTAAAATATGAAACTCACAACTTTTCCCAGTTATTGCGAATAAGCCATAGACCTAAAAGCAAATTAAGGTCTGAGACTTTAGTAAAAATTATTTGTGAGGTCAAATCTTGCGTAAAATGTTAAAAATCTATAATTTTCTGCCTTCTGGAGATCAATCCATCCTCTGTTTGCTTAGCTGTTCACAGTAACCTAAACTATTTTGCAAATTATCCACACTTCTGCATGCCACTGTATTGACATATATACCTAAAGTACCTGTCTAGTGTGTTATTGTGAAATTAAAGCAAAACATGTTCGTTAAAGCTGAAGAACCCGAGTTAGTCTCATTCTTACTTTCTCCAGCTTTTCAAATGTACATTTTTACATAGAGCACCACTTTTTAAAAAGTTAGTAAATTACAGAAGGTGGAAGGTGGTAATGGCAAAAGCCAGAGCACCTTTCAGCTTTTCCCTGCTGCAGAGAAGGACCAAAGGAGTGCCCAGGGGTGCCTTTGCTGCCCTAGATAATCCTACCTCAGTCAGGAAATTGTCCAGTAACCCTGGATCAGCTCCAAGTTAACTTAACATGTCAATCAAACAAACACAAACGGAAAACAAGCACGAAGTGAAGCAAACCTGCGAAAGAAGACTGAAATGACCACAGAAAAAGACTTGTGAGAACTTTCAAATGCACAAAACACCCACAAAGAAGCACAAGGTGAAACAAGTGGTGCATGTGGGTTTGCTGCTGAGGTTAAGGGGGGAAAAAAGGTGAAAAGCTGTCACTCAAAAATAATCTCAGTGAGGATATAGAAAAGAGTTTTAAGCAACAATTACAAATTTTCTAAACTTGTGCTTTGAAATCTAAATTTTTCTGTGTCACAGCCATCAGTTAAAGTCAAATTAACACAGAAAGAGAAATTTACAAGCCTGCTGTGTGTAAAGACCCGTGCACGTTCATGTAGCTTGTAAGGCCAAGCGGATATTTGTGGCTTATGTCCTCTATCCAGCTCCAGAAACCTCAACTACCTAAACAGTGATAACGGTTAGCCGTAAATCTCTCTGAGTGACTTGTGCAGTTACATAAGTCCATAATTGCAGTGTTTCACAACTCTTCTCCACGGTTCGCAGCAGGGAATCCTGGCCTCTGTCTGCAACTGGGTTTCTATGGAAGTCTGGAGAGGCTGCTGACTGAATATGTGGCTGCCGCTGGCCCGAGAGGCCTTATGTAAGAGACCCAGGGGCATTCCAAGGGCAACAAGCATGAGGCTCTCACTGGATCCTTTCACATGGACAGAAAGGGGCTCGTGCTGTGGTTGTCTCTCATTATGTACTCTTGGGTTTAAGTCAGGTGTTCTCCTGCAGCCCCCTGAATACAACAATCCTCTACTCTGTGGCTTGTGTGTGTTTCCATCTCATCCGTATCACTGAGATAAGCAACGGAAATCTGTGAAAAACACAGAGGCTCATTTAACAGCAGTTTAAAGCTGTTGTGTTGTGATGTTTTTTTCTTAAGGCTGCTTAAGAATATAAGAACATCTGGATTTAAAGAAATATTCTGTTTACTACTTTGGTTCTGTGATGCAAAAATCCTTTTACTAAAAGAAAGGTTTGTCTCAAAATATTATCACCTAACACTAGAAAGCAAAGTGCAAAGTATATATATCAGCCACCCACAGAGGTCACTGACACAAAGTCACTGCAATCAGCTGATGAAGCAATTGATTTTTCTTTACAAACAATAGCAACACGTGCTATATGATATTCATTTGTGTAATGGTGCAGAGTACTAAGATGTCAGAGTAAATTATGGAATAATTTAGGGAAGGTTATTACTATGTGTGTAGTAATATCAGTATATACACTGGAATAGCAGCTAACAATGTAACATAGAGCTTAAATCCAGCACAAGCAGTTAATGTTGTGAGTCTATGGAAGCTCGTTTCAGCCACGGAGAAATATATTTCTCGCCTGAGTTATTACCTCAAATAAAAACTAAGCATCTTTCTGCTAATTTCCATTTAAATTGTGTCACCATATAAGGACAATAAGTTTACAACAAAAAACAATACAGTCATAGTTTCTCAAAAACAGTAATTATAAGGGTCAGAAATGAAAAACAAAATCTCAGGATCTAAAGATGTAAAAGAAGCATTTCTGCATTTTTAAATGCACTTATTTCAATAATGAAGGCTGGTTGTTATTAACCCACATAGCAGTTGGTTATTTTAGCTTAGCATAACGGCAGGAAACTAGGGAAGAAAACAAGCAGCCTGGCTCTATCCAGTGACTGGTTATTGCTACATAAATGTCCTGTCCTTTTTTTTTTTATCAAAATGAAAGGAGCTATTATTTAAGGCTTGAGGCTTAAGTATAACTTAAGTATAGCTTAGGCCTGCAGCTACCAAATTATTTTGGTGACTAAAGGTTTAAATGTTAACCTCGAGGCTTCTTCACTAGTAAATCTTACTATTCTAGGTCCGTTAGCCGTGGTTCACTACAAAACAAAACAATGTAGTGATTAGAAGCCAGTGGGCAAATAAATCAGGCAAATAAATTCATGTTAGGAAACATTTTTAACTTTAAAACTATTGCTGCACATACAGCTGAGCTGATAAATGACCCTGCTCAGTCAGCCGTATCAGTAAAACCAGTGACAGGTGAGTTGAATAACATCAGGTTACAGCAGCACCTGTTCAAGGCTGGATGTCTATTAGCCAGCAAGTCATCAGTCAGGTCCTGCAGTTGATGCTTTGTAAGCAGAAGAATGGGAAAGCGACTTCGACAGGAGGCCAAAACCACAGAGACTCCACCTGTTGTCCAAGCTCAGGTCAGAAACGATTCCCCTCCGGGCCTGCTGATGTTTTGAGCCTCTTTGGGGTGTTTTTAAACTGAAACCCGAACAGCAGCAATGCATTATTTTGGTTCAAGTCGTTCAGCAGACTGATACAACAGACTGCCAGAGTAACAGCACACTTGTGGCATGGGTTCCTTTCAGATATTATGAACTGAAACCTGGATTTTTGGTGAAAAAAGCAGAACTTTGATTACTGAGGGAGTCTGTTTTGAGTAAATGTGACAGATCAGGGTGGTTTTGGGTGTGTTGCTAGGCTGTAAAGATGAGATGATGACTTAAAAAGAAATTGATTTACAGTTCTGTGATAAAGAAAATCTCTGCAGGAGTATGTGCAGCCTGGTGAGAAAAAAAACTACATACCATGATTCAGCAGCTTGTACAGCCACCTTTAGCATAAATAACTTGAAATAATTTTTCTGCCTCTCATATTGTTGTAGATGAATTTTACTTCACTCTTTGAATGTGAATTATGTGCAAATTATACAATATGTGCATTATATTGTATCTATGCTTATTAGGTTTGAAAATGGACACATGATATATGACTTATGAACTGCAGACCAAATCTACCAGTGGGTTCAGATAATGTAAACTAAACTGAACCCGAGACCATTTCCCAGCTGTGCTTGTGCATAGCACAAGTTTATGCCCTTATTTGAATTGCTGATTTTGACATTTCTATCTATACAATGTTAAAAAAAACGAAAGCAAAGAAAGGAAAGCAATGCAGTGCATACCGAACAAACCAGTTCATCAGTGCCCACGCTTCCGGGGATTCATCAGAGTGAGTCAGAGACCTCCCAGGTAGAAAATGAACATGACATGAGATCCAAACCTATTGCTCAGGCAGTGAAAGCAAGGGAATCACTTAGAAATCTCCCTGGATTTCACCACTAGAATGTCCTCTCTCACGCTTCTCTCTTTAATCACATGGCAGGCCTGTAGCCACAAAGGGCCTGTCCATCTTAGAGAGATTAACAGTGCAGGAATGTTACTCAGATGATGATCCTGAGACGAAGAAAACCCCAAACTGATCTTTGTGAGTAAAATGGAACCACCACAATGGTCCAATTTCCCATTAAAAGGTAAAAAGAAATTGAATAAATATTATATAAATTGGAATATACTGTTAAAAGACAACAAATAACATCTACAATGTAACCATTTACACGCCTGTGGCCTCAAAGTAAGGCACCACAATCTAACGGTGGCTGTGTGCTGTCAGGTTACCGCCTGCAGCCAGCAAATCTGTGCTCTAGAAAATATCTGTCCTCAGTCAACATGCACCGAAGAGACACGAGAGGCATATTCTGCCCCTTCAGGGCAACTCTCAAATGAGTGAAAAATGACTCTAATGAAGAAGAAAGAAAAAAAAACCCAACTTCTGTCGACAACAAGCCTCTCAGAG